AATCCCAGCCCAGGGGAGGCTGAGGCAGGAGGATCGCCATGAGTTCGAGGCCAGCCTGAGATACACAGTAAGACCCATCTCAAAAAACATAAAAAGCAATGATAACAAACTGCTTTATACTCTATTTCAAAAGGCAGCCAAGAGCCAAACTTCGGAGTTGATTCAAATCTCAGTACCACCAAACACTAGCTGTGAAGCTAAGTGTTTGCTATTATCCAAAAAAAAAAGCCCCATGGCAAGCAACCCTAAGGTCCTGGGTGTGACGGGATTTGAGGCCAGCGAGGGTCCAGCGCACCTGAGCAGGCTGGGCGCAGACGCCTCTGCTCCAACGAGGAGCCCGGCGCGATGCGGCCGAGGCAGCGCAGCCCCAAGCAGATTCACGCCGGCCCCAGGCGGGGGGACGGCAGCTGCTAGCAGGGCCAGGGAGCGAGGCAGTAACGAACACGGCGGCCTTGGAGCTGGGACCCCGGGGGCTCACACACCATCGCCAGAGCAAAGCACACAGGCGGGGTGGGGCCGGGTCAGAGCAGGGCAGGAGCCCGGGCGCCCAGCGCCACCCGCACGGGCCATCCCGGGCACGGGCACACACCTCTCACCCTCCCCGAGGGGCCAGCGCCCTGGGCATCTGATGGGGCCGCCTGCGGTGCCACCCGGCCTGTGAGGACTTCAGGGTACAAGCGGAGGGCGCGGACGGTCCAACCTGAACGCGGAATCTTCCTCCCGGCCACGCAGGCCTCCCCAGCACTCACTGTCGGGGCAGCGTGCAGCGCCCTGCTCCCGGCCCCCCTCCGTGTCCCGCCGGTGCTCCGCGCCTGCGCCCTCCCGGCCGCCCCCACCAGCTGCGCGGCAGAGACCCCAGGCTTCGGGCTGCTTGCCCAGGAAGGACGGCCACCATCCGGATACCAAACCAGGACCAACGCGGGTCAGACCGCAGCGCCGAGGGGGCCCTGCTCCCTCCCCGAGGGTGAAAGGCTGAACCGGTGCAGCCCCTGAGGAGAGCAGCGCGGAGGTTCCTCAAAAGAACAGGACTAGAAATTCCGTTTGGCCCAGCTTCTTCCCTCCGAGGTATCTTCCCAAAGAGTTAAAGATGTCACAGTGATCCATGCAGAACAACTCAAAGGAGCTAAACCTTAGAAGCAGCCTACACGTCCATCCACAGATGAATGATAAAGCAAATGGGGTGTTTCTCCGCCGTGGAGTACTACTGTGCCATAAAGAAGGATAAACTTGAGTCACCCGGAGGAACACTGATGTGCCTTGAGACCATAATGCTAAGTAAAATAGATCAGGCGCACAAGCTTAACTGTGGCATGACTTCTCTTACGTGAGAAACCCAAAGTTTACACAACTTAAGGAGCAAAATGCAAGAAGGCATGGTAGAACACAGGGAGGCTTGCTTTGTGGAGTCGGAAGGGGGTCTGGGGTTGGGAAGAGATGGGGCGGAGGGGTGGGAAGGAAAGGACAAGATGCGAAGTGCGCGCGCAGCGATTCCCCGAGGTGAATATATTTATTCTGCATCACGAACGTATGCAAACAAAGTGGGGGGCATACGCTTCTCTGCCTGGCCTGGTTGCACTCCTCCTCCGCGCCCTCCCTCCGGGGCGACTTCTCTCTGCAGACAGCGTGGAAGACCAGGCTAACTCCTTTCTGAGTGCGTCTCTCCCTCGGATCCTTTAATTCCACAGGGGCAGCGAGCACATCTGCTCTGTCCACCCAAGTAGGCGGGTGGAACTCGCGGCCGGCGCCTCCCACGCGATCGATGAAAACTCGCGTTGATAAATGAACGGCTGCCCCGGGCGGCTGCGTTCCAGGCAATCCACCGAGTGTCTCGCAGTCGGAACATTAACACTCAAGTGCAAACGGCTTGACATCCTTTTTTCTGCTCTTTTCTTGTGTTTTATTTCTGTGTTTGTCTGTTTTTGAGACAGGATCTCATTCGGTTGTCCAGGCTGGCCTCCAGCTTGTGATCCTCCTGCCTCAGCCTCCCGAGTACTGGGATTACAGGTCTGTGCTACCTGTAGCCAGCTAGCCAGCCCTTAGCTTGTTTACTTCTGGCCTCAAGTGAGTAGCAGGTTCTGGGACACCAGGGTAGGTCCCTGGGAACACACCAGGGACGTCTAGCCGCCAGAGGATACCAGGGTCAAAACGGTGGGAAGATGTCTGCTTCGAAGCTGATGTCTAAATAAACTCTCCTGGCTTGGTTATAGGCAGCTGAGTTAGACAGAAACATTACGGGCAGTCAGACAGGGCCGGGCCCTGGAAGGAACCTGTGTAGAAGATGAGATACATTGCAGCTGTCGGGGAGACACCTCCACTGAGGGCCAGGCCGCAAGACAAAAGGTGAAACAAACGCACCCACATACTTCCGAAGGACAAACAGCAGGGGCTGATATTCTAAATAGCAATCGATCCCCTAAGAGGCCAGGAAGACCACCGGCCCACCCCCTACGGGAAGAGCTCCCGTTCCACGACATGCCCACTTGCTAGGTGACTGGCTTCCCCGCTTGACCCCCTTTAATCAATCTTACTGGGCAGTTACACTCGTAATCTTATTGGCTGACCATAGTTTTGTCCCACCTCATGCCCACCTTGCCATTTCCCATTCTTCCGCCTTGGACCCGCCTCACACTGTGGATTTGCTCTATAAAAGTCCCTTAAAAAGGCAGGGTCCTCGGCCGCTCACTGGGGCCCCCTTCTGTCTCTCTCTCAGACAGAAGCTTTCTTTCCTCCGCTACATATATTCTGCTCTTAACCTCCGTTGATCCTAAAATTCATTCTTCGATTTCAGAGAACAGGAACTCGCCCCAGACATCCAGCATGTTGGGAGTTTCTCTCCCCCGCGCCAGCTTTAACAAGAATCTGCTCACATCCCTGACTGCTCAGCCGGCGTCTTGGGACAAACGCAGGCCGTCTGCCACCCGGTGCTGCCCACGCGAGAGGCGTTCTGGGGCTGTCAGCTTGGACAGAGGAGGACTTGAGGGGAGGGATCCTCGCCTTTGGCCTGGCACCGCCCCCTGCGCCACCGGACGTCCAGAGCAAGTGATGACATGTGGAGTAATTAAATTGTCACAAGCCTCACCTGCTATTTAGAATATCAGCCCCTGCTGTTTGTCCTCACTTTTCTGATTAGAAAAGTGACTACAGAGTCCCCAGGTGGCCTGGACAGGGCAGGGCTGCCGCCGTGGGTCACCGCTTCCCTCTTCCACGGTCAGCGACTTCGCGGGGCCGGGATCCGGACTGGTTTTGTCCTTGGGGAGCAGGGCAGCCTTAGCCAGGGTCTCCAGAGAGGCTGGGGCAGGGGGAGGAGCAGGACCGGGGAAGGGCTGCTGAGGGGTGAGGGCCCGGGTTAGACAAAGCCTCAGCCCTCAGGCGTGCGGGGACCAAGGCCCGCCAGGGAATGGGGCTCCCACAGCACCTGCTGCAGGCCCACGCCGTGTCCGCCGGGGGCTGTCCTCCGCGTCACGGTCACCGTGTGACCACCACACAGCTGCACGTGAACAACGAACGCAGGGCAAATTGTGTGCGCGCGTGCACGTGTGCAGGCGTGTGTGCATGTGTGCGGGCATGTGTGCATGTGTGCGGATGTGTGCATGTGTGTGTTTAGCTATGCATTGAGTCTGTGTTTACACACCTGCGGGTGCACACACACCCTGTGCAATAGTTGTGCTTGAGCCAACTACACGTGCAGCACTAAATCACCTACCTGTCACCACCACGCGCCACCGTGTCACCTCCGCCACCTTCCAAAGCTGTCTGCCCGTTTTGTTCCCACCCCTGCCCCGCCCCCCAGCGTGGCGGGTTTCCCCGCGGACAAGGACTGCCACAAGGGCTTCGCACCGGTGCAGGCGGGAGAGGAGAGGGAGGGATGAGCTGAGGGCGGAGCCCTCCCCCTGAAGCTGGGCGGGCGGGCGCGCTGTGCGGCGCATCTCCTACATCAGCGCCTGAGCTCTGCAGGAGCAGAGGCTGCTGGGTCCTCAGCCCCAGATGCTGCAGGATTCGTATCCCTGCAGAATGACTGGGTCTCACGACAAAGGCCTCTCAGGGTCCCAGCAATTCTGAGACCCCCAAACCACCCACCAAAACCCTAGAAGCTCCGGGGCATCTGTCCGAGACCCACACGGCTGACCCTGCTAGGGTGCACATGGCCTCCTCTCCCCAGTCTTCTCTCCCTGAGCCCCATGCATGTGGCAACGGCTGAACTGTGGATGTCCGAGCTTCCATCCTCAGAATGGGACTGCACTAGGACGTGGAGTCTTTTTTTTCATTTTTTTTTTTTTTGTTTTTTTGGTTTTTTTTTTTTGGTCTTTTTGAGACAGGGTCTGGCTATGCAGTTCAGGCTGGCCTTGAGCTCAGTTTGTAGCCCAGGCTAGTCTCAAACTCCCAACGATCCTCCTGCTTCAGCCTCCTGAGTGCTGGGATTACAGGCGTGCACCACCACGCCCTGGCAGGATGGAATCTTTAAAAAGGTTGTTGAGGAAAATTGAGGCAGTGAAAGGTGAGGCCCTAATCCAAACTGACTGGAGTCCTCATACGAAGAGGTTAAAATTGTCTGGGGGAAAAAATACATGCCTGTGATCCCAGCACTCCTAAGGCTGAGGCAGGAGGATCGCTGCAAGTTCAAGGCCAGCCTAGACTACATAGTGAATTCAAGGCCAGCCTGCACTACACAGTGAGATCCAAAGAAAGAAGAGATTGGACAGGCGCCTGGTGGGGACCATGTGAGGACACGGGAAGGACAGCTGAGGGAGAGGCCCTCGACACCCTGACCTCTGACCCCTCACCCCAGAACTGTGAGAAAATACATTCTTTTTGTTTAAACCCAGTCCATGGTATTTACAATGGCAGCCGCAGAAAACCAACGCTATGCAGCAATCCCAAAGGGGAATGGAGTGCTGTAGTGAGGGTACCCGAGGCAGTAGGTTAGCCATGAGACCAGCGCACAAGAGGGACATAAGAGAGAAGGCGACACAGGAGGTGAAGGAAAGAACGCAATGACGGCATCTGGTGTGGACAGTTTTTATATTTGGTATTTGTAAGTCTTTTTTAAAAAAAATTTTTCCAGGCCATTTTTTCCTTTAAAAAAAAAAAAAAAAAAGCAACCCACAGCAATACTCTGTACAAGTATAACAAACATTAGAAATAGGCATCATTCCAAAATAGTTACAAGAAAATTACAATTTAGAGTCCACAGCAACACGTCCTATCACACGCGCCCCCCAGGGGGACAAGCTGCAGCGTGTCAGACAGGCGACGCCCCAGTAGTCTGCAAACTCCGCGCCTGCCCTTCGGAGCCAAGCCGACGTCCGCCCCCAGACCCGCTGAGCTCCACAAGCGCCGTCAAGCATCGCGAAAGAAAACCAGGCTTTTTCATCCCCGAGGAGACAAAAACACAGGGAAGCTTGGCTTCGGCGACCACCGCCCCCCAGCCTCTACTGCACAAAACACAGTTCCAGGGGCGGCGAAGGGCCCAGGTCTCGCTGGAGTCACAGTGCGACCCCGGGACGGACGCCGGCCGTCAGGAGACTTGGCTTTGAAGGCCGCAAGTCTGTGTTCCCGGGAGAGGTGGCAGGGGCCCGGGTGCACTGCGTGGGGCCCGAAGCCCTCCCTGGCTGCGCAGTGCCGCCGGGCCCTCCCGCCCTTCTCTTGGCCAGCCTGGGGTCCTTTCCAGAGGCTGTGTTATACATACCCTTCCCATCCCCAGAGCCCCAGCACTTCTGAGGCCTCAGGAGCATCACGACCTTCGTGTGACCTTCCCACCGAATTCCAGGCCTCCTCTCCTCGGGGACTGGGGATGACCTAAGGTGGCTTTTTTTTTTGAAGACAGGGTCTCATTATGTAGCCCAGGCTGGCCTCAAACTCCCAGCGATCCTCCTGCCTCAGCCTCCCAAATCCTGGGATGACAGGTGTGCGACACCACACCCAGCCTGCTTTGTCAGGCAGTGTGTTTACGATTACGTCGCTTTACTGTTTCGAAGGGGCAGAGCCTTTCCTGTGACTCTCCAGGCCAGCGACAGGCAGCAGGGCTGAGGGCACTCCCTCCCAGGGGGTTCCCCACAAATCGGCGGAGCGTGGCCCACAGTGAGGTGGGGGAGCCCCCGAGCCCCTCAGCCTGCCTGAGTTGGGGCACGACCTTCCCACAGCCAGCTGCCCCCATGGCCGGCAGGGGACCCCCACCCACAGCGCCCAGGGGGCCCAAGCCAGCCGGGCCCACCCACTCATCCCTGGAAGGACCTGAAACACAATGAACTTCTCAGCACTAACGAACGCAAAGGATTTGGCAAAAAGTGCAATTTCCATTTGAGAAGCAGAAATTCTCCCCAAACATGGCGCCCCACGACCCCTCCTTTGAACCCTCCCAGCACCTCCAAGGGGCCGGCGGGCAGAAGGCAGCACTAAGTCAGAACAGCATCGGGGCTCTAGGTCCATCGCGGTTCACCCTTCGGAGCCCTCAGATGCCCCTAACAGTCCAGGCTGCCATCGAAGTGCAGGGAAGCGCGGAGCCCAGCGGCGGCAGGAGGGGACGCAGCCCGCCCCCCCCCCGGGCCCTGGGGACCAGGCCACCAAAGGCCCCGCCCCATTTCCCGTGGGAAACCCGCATCCTGAGCAGAAGCTGGCCGCCGGGCTCCAGGACTTGCCGATTCCTTCATCTGACCGTGGATACTTCATTGCCTGTTAGAGAAGGAGCTCAAAACATCTTCCACACATAACCTGAGCCTCAGCATAAAAAAAAAAACAATCCTTTCATGTTAATGCCTTGTGAAGTTTACAGATTAGGTACCAATAAAACACATCCACATAAATTCTGAAATCCTTGGTGAATACACAACCTGAAGCCAAAAAAAAAAAAAATTAATCTACATTTTCCTTTAAAAAATCAAGTACAGCAGCAGTAAAGTGAAAAGAGGTTTTAAAAATAATAATTACATCTTTGATACAAATCAAACTTTGTACACCTCAATTCCTAGGAGTGACTGACGCAGAGTTCAGGGTTTGTATATACAGTAGATACCAGCGTGTGTCACTGCAGACACAGACTAAAGCCAGTGGGCTTCGGGGAAGGGGGGATTCATCCGACACTGAGTTCACACTGAAGTGTTCACAGATTGCCACGCTTTTAAAAACGCACACACACACAGGCACACACGTACACGGACACACAGACACACATAAAAATCCCAACCTGAGTAAAACATGACTAAAAACCCAGAGCATCAGGAATCACAAGTCACATATTGCACCTTTAAATAATCCTTTTTACCAAAGACAGGAAGGAGAAAAGGAAGAAGACGGGACGGGGACAGGAGATCTGCCGCGGAGGGCCCCGGGCGTGCCCCGCCCACCGAGGGAGCCTCTCGGTCTCACCCACTCCACGGGCTGGACACGTTGCAACCGACCGAAGTCTCCACAGGAAACTGGGGGGAGGGAGGGGCCTCTTCTCATCCGCGAGGAAGGGAAGTCACGAGGCAAACCTCCGTGCTAAGCTACTGTTTAAATATTCCGTATATTCCAATTACGAGATTCAATACAAAAATAGAGAAATCTGCTGAGTTTTGCCTGTGGAAGCATAATTCAGAAAAGGCACATGTTCAGATAGAAAACCCAACCGGAAGAGGCGCCGGACCCCTCCTGACACAAGAACCACCCATAACTGTGTGTTTTCCATCAGCTCGATCCCAAGACGCAGTGGGTAAAAATAGACCTCTGATACTTAAAATATATTCAACCCAACGAAATCCTGGCTGGAGCATGTGAATCACATGGAAGTCGTTTGCTGTTGTTGTTTTTTAAGAACTAAGTTTTGGGGGGTAAAAAATCATAGCTCACTTTCCCAGGTTTTCTTCAGTTTTGAAGGAAAATGAAAAGTGAACTCTTCCCGTTGGTCATCAGGAATGTGGGCGAAGGTTCCGGGTCACCAGCCACGGCCGACGCCCGCTGTGCTGCCGCGGGCTGCGCACTCGGCTTCCGGCCCTGCCCACCGCGCACTCCTAGCAGGGCAAACAGAGAACTGAGATCTGGGACGCAGGGCAACGGCACACAGGAGCGCTCCGTGGCTGGGCGTGACGTCTGGCCACCCGCGGGCCTCTGCGTGGATCAGGCGATGTAGCCGTTGGTCTTCCCGAACACGCCCGTCGGCTCCAGGTTCTCGTAGATGGACATCGCGGTGGTGTTCTGGTAGATGAGATCCACTCTGGAGTCTCGCTGCGACCGGACGATGTCCAGGACGCACTGGTTGAGGAAAACGTACTGATCCTGAGAGCAAACGGGAGAGAGAGACAGTCAAGGAGCCCAGGGCCCCCCGAGGAGCCCCCATATGCCACTCACGCAGATGGCATCACCTAAGCCCCATCCGCCCAACAGCAAGCGCGTATTATGAGGTCGCAGGAGTCGGGTGAGAATCTGAACACACAAACGAGGTTTATTCATGCGTGGTTCTCAGGAGATGGGCTCACTCTCCCCGCCGGAGGGCAGAAAAGGCCTCCCAACAGTACACGGCAGTCTTGGCCCAGGCCCTGTGGAGTGAGGGGAGCCTGGAATTCTTAACAAAGGAGGCTCCTTAAATCTGATGAGCTGGGCACACGCCTGTAGTCCCAGCTCTCAGGAGGCCAAGGCAGGAGGATCACCCTGAGTTCTGGGCCAGCCTGGGCTACACAATGAGACCCTGTCGTTCATTCAGATAGATAGATAGATAGATAGACAGTCAGACAGATAGATAGACAGACGGACAGTCAGACAGATAGACGGACAGTCAGACAGACAGACAGTCAGATAGGATGGTCCAGGGGACCACATTTGGGGAAGCCTCTGGGAGCCACGGATAGCGATTACAAAGCGAGGGAGAGGTGTGCACTGACACAGGAAGGTATCTGTGATGCCATCCGAGGGTCACGCCACAAGGAAGTGTCACATCCAAAACAGGAGGAGATTTCTTCCAAATACTCCACGTGAGTGTCCGTGCACACACAGAGCACACGTATTCACAGAGGCACACGCACCCTGACACCACACTGTGGAGTGAAATAAACCAGACGTCTAAGCTTAAAGATCGCATACTTCTCTTACACGAGAAGCCCCAAGCATACACAACTTGAAGAGCAAAAGAGACGACAACCAGCAGGAGACAGGCAGATCGTCTGTAGATGGGAAGGGGATCTGGAGATGCCGGGAAGCGGGGAGGACGCGAGGGGACAGAAAAGAATTAGGATGTGAGATGTGCAGGTACCAGCTCCCCACAGTGAAATGCAACCGCTATGCACTGCAAACACGTACTAACACGAATTTTAAAAGAGGTCTCTAAAGATACATGCCCATGAGGCAGAGGATTACTGTGAGTTCAAGGCCAGCCTGGGCTATATATCTCAAAAAAAACAACAGCAGCAGCTGGGATATAGCTCGGTGCAAAGACCCTGGGCTAAAACATAAATAAATAAAAAATAAAGTTACACGGCCAACTGTACATACTGGCTATTTCTAGGGACAGGATTGTGGGGAAAGTAAGAGGGAAAACTGTATTCTATAAACTCCTATATACTTAAAAATTATAATATGATTAGGTATTCTCTGGAGACTGAGGCAGGAGGATCGCCCTGAGTTCAAGGCTGGCCTAAATGATATAGCAAGACCCTGTCTCAGGGGCTGGGGATGTAGCTCTGCGGCAAAGTGCCTGCCTGGCAAGTGCAAGGTCGTGAGTTCAGTTCCTGGTACCAGAGAAAAACCAAAACAAAAAAGACTCTGTCTCAAAAAACAAAAACAAATACACATATATGACTAATTATTGTTTTCAAATTATATCAAAGAGATGAGAAAAGCATCTGCGAGCATAAAATTTCGGTTTCTCAGAGAAGCGTAAGAGGGGCTGGGGATTTAGCTCAGAGGCAAAAGCGCCTGCCTGGCAAGCGCAAGGTCGTGAGTTCGGTTCCCGGTACCGGAGAAAAAACAAAAACCAAAAAATAAATAAATAAATCAGAGAAGCGTAAGAGATTGAGAAATGCTACTCTGTATAATTAGAAGAGAGCACAGGAACGTTTTCCTCCTGACCAACCCGGGACTGAAACCGCCGCTCCGCCCACACCAAGCGCACAGGGCAGCCGGGCTCTCGAACCCGCCCCGTGCGGCTCAGCGCAGCAGGCGACGACTTCTCCTTCTCCGCGGCTCAGGGCCCGGCCCGCTGTACAGCGAGTACTCTGTCCTCCTCATCCTGGGGCGCAGTCGCCCCAAGCACAGCTGCTTCCACTGCCACCGGGTGAAAAGGCTCCCAGCTGTCTTGGCTCTGATAATGACTTTCTTTCTTTCTTTCTTTGACACTTACAAGGCTGGGTGAAGACAAACTGCTTAATGCTTAAACACAATAGGCTTGTTTTGTTTTGTTTTGTTTTTGGTGTCAGGGATTAACCCAGGGCCTTGATGCTGAGCTACATCCCCAGCCCTTTTTATTTTTTATTTGGAAATAGTCACCAAGTCACTAAATTTCCCAGGCTGCAATCCTCCTGTCTCAGCCTTTCGAGGTGCTGGGATTACAAGTGTGTACCGGCACATCCAGCTCGATAAGCCTATTTCACCTGCATGTTTCAAAAGACAGTCAGACCTGCTTAGAAACAAAGAATGAGAAATACCAGTTTCATAAGTTTAAACCCAGAAACCAAAGTCCGGAGACTTGGGAAGATTATTTAAGTCAAAGGCGTAAGGAAAAGAATATGCTGTGGGTGAGGGTGTGTGCTCCACTCCTGACACCAGTCCTACTGCACCGCCTGTACCAGGCCATTTAGTCCAGCTCGGTTTAGAGACTGCCAAGAAATCCAGCATCATTCACAGAAGGCCAGAGAGACTCGGAAAGTGAACGATTTCACCCCGATCACGCGACCCCTGGGATCCACCGCACGGGACGGACGGGAAGTGGAAGGGTCAGGCGCGCATCCCTCTCACCTCGGTCTGCACCATGAGGGGCCGGTGCATGCGGAGGTCGTACACGATGCCGTACACATCCACCGTGTTCTCGTTCTCGATCTGATAGATGAGGCGATCAATAGCGATGAAAGTGCCCGTCCTGCCAACCCCCGCGCTGAAAGGCAGGGAAAGCAGCAGGTCAGCGGGCGCCCCCTCCACGCACCTCCCGGGCTGCCCCATCTGTATAAGCAGCGGGCTCTTGGCCACCACCACCATTTGCAGTAGCAGATCTGGGAAAACACTGCTCCCTGGGAACCTCAGTGAGTCAGGCTTCGCCACCTTGGCACTGAGGCCTGAGTCCCAAGCTTACTTTTTTTTTTTTTTTTTTTTTTTTTTGAGACAGGGTCTCACTATGCAGTTCAAGCTGGCCTTGAGCTCACTTTGTAGCCCAGGCTGGTCTTGAACTCCCAAGGATCCTCCTGCCTCAGCCTCCCGAGTGCTAGGATTACAGGCATGCACCACCACGCCCCACCCAAGATTACTTTTGAGTTCAGTGCCACAAATAAGACGCCTTATTAGAGACTCTTAAATCTCAATCCCATTCACGTTGCCATAGTAACCTTGAAGGGCCAGTCTATCCATTTCCGCAGGCAACAAAGCCCCTCTTTCTTCTGCCCTAAATTAATTCCTTTAATTTTATCTTTGGGGCTTTTTTTGAGGCAAGGTCTCACTATGTTGTTCAGGCTGGCTTTGAACTCACTATGCAGCCCAGACTGGCCTTCAATTTGAGGCAATTCTCCTGCCTCAGCCCCTCCCATGCTGGGGTTACAGGTGTGCACCACCGTCCCTATCTCATTTCCTTGAATTTTAAAGCTAATTTCTCATTGCTCTAGAGTGGCAATGGGTACGCTTTTTCTGTAGACAGCAAACGTCTTCAGCTCCACAGAGGGCAGGGTCTCTGCACAAATACAAACCGCTAACAACATGCAAACCAGGACACAGCCGCTGCAGTGACACCTGCTGATGACCGCGCAGCGCACTGGATCTGGCCACAGCCTGGTTTGCCAGGCCCTGCACTAGAGTCTCGGGGCCCAGGGAGCAAGCCGTGTGCAGCTTGCTGCAACCTTCCTGAACAGTAAATGCGCAGCGCACTTTGCAGCGCTCAGAAGCACAAGGGTGCACCGGGGCCGTCACTTTGCACCCCTGTACCTGCAGTGCACCAGAATCGGCGACTCCGGAGGGCTCTGCTTCATGTAGTCGCGGACCAGGTACCGGAAGTTGATGAGCAGGTCTGTGGTGTCAGGGACGCCGTGGTCGGGCCAGGAGGTGAAGTGGAACTGTCTCAGCCGGTGACTGTCACTTGTCTGCACCTACACGTCAACAGAGCGTCAGAGGCAGCGACACGGGCTGCCCAGGGACACCGAAAGGGAAGGGGAGGCGGGCAGAGCCCGGACAATGAACTGCCAGGGACAGGCGGCAGCTAAAAAGGACGGTTACGCTAGAAACCAGAACTTCACACTCGCACACCGACTGCAGGGGTGCTCACACACACTTTGTCTTGCTCATCAAATCCTAACACTCCCAAGGAGGGTGGAGTACCCCGCTGGAGAGATGAGCAAGCAAGCCAGGTGTGCCGGTGCACACCTGGCACCCCAGCACTCCAGGAGGCTGAGGCATGAGGATTGCAAGTTCAAGCCAAGCCCTGGCAACCAGGGAGATCCTGTCTCAACACTTAAATAAAAAATAAAACGAGCTGGGGATGCAGCTGAGTGTGAGAGCTTCCAGGTTCAATTCCAGTACAGCTCCTTCCCGCCGAAAAGAGGGGGCAGAGAGTCAGAGAGGTGGACTCAATTCCCTGACACTTGTCTTATCTCACAGTCAGCGAGGTACCGAGCCCTCCGGGTTTGAGTTCAGATCACTCCCCTTCTCCGGCTGCCAGCCAGTAACAGGTTCACTCACACCTTACACCTGCACCTCCTGAGAGCCCTGTGAGCCCGAGCTCACCTGGGAGCGTCCCCAGCTGCAACACCTACTGTGACTCACCCAATACAACATGAGACTCGGCACGTGCCGGCAGGGACCGCCCCACCGCTCCAGGCGCCCCAGAGGTCCGAGGGTGGCAGCCTCAGGCAGCCGCACACTCTGAGCAGAGCGTACGCCGGGCGCCAGGCACCAGCGCCCTGTCTGGACCGTTCTCGGGTTTAAAAGGAAAATGTATCAGTGCCTTTTGTGTAAATAAAAAATAATATTTTACTAATTGTCGTGTGGTATCCTAGACTGACTCCTAGAATAAGAAAAGGCTTTAGTAGGAATACGTGAGCTCTGAGTTTATTTTTTAAAAAATCATAGTAGCAATTTTTTTTAAACTGAGGATTGAACCCAGGGCCTTCACACCGAGCTAAACCCCCAGCCCTCTCTTATTTTTTATTTTGAGACAGGGTCTCCCTAATTTGCTAAGTTGCCCAGTCTGGGCTCCCTGCATCAGCCTCCCAGAACGCTGGGGTGACAGGGTGCACTACCCTGCCCACCCAGGGACGTTTTTAAACGCGGTGGACGACTCCGCACGCCGTTCCCCCGCCGTGGGTGAACCCCGGGCAGGGCAAGCAACCGCGGACAAACGAGTCCACTGACGTGGGCAAAACCTGCAGGAAGGAGCAGAGGCGCTCCAAAGGCTTTGCGGTTACTGGGAACGTGAGGACTTTGGCGGCCGGGGCAGAGCGCGCAGCCGCGGGAGGCGCCTCCTCCGCAGAGGAGCTGGGACGGAGGCCAAGCAGCCGGCGCTGTGAGTCACAGCAGCGAGGAGAGGACGCGCCTGCCAGAGACTGCACCTCGCCCGTGACCCGGTCTCCCAGGCAACTCTCCCACGCCACAGCCCAGCCCACCGCCCGGCTTTCCACAGTCCGCACGGGCGTCTCCCTCACGGGACGTCCCGACCCCGCCTCGTGGCAGTGAGGCCCAGCTCGGCTCAGCATGTGCACATGGCCCACGCGTGTGCCCTGGCTCCCAGGCGGGCCGTGTTCCAGCCAACAACAGGGCACGGATGTGACCGACAGACGCTGAGCCCAGGCGAGTGGGAGGCTGGCCTGTCTGGGTTTGTGCCCCTGCCTTCCACATTTCCCAGGATGTGTCCCTGCCAGTCAGTAACACGGAGCGATACTGTGAATCACCTCTGAGCAAAGAAAAGCCCAGGCCCGGATGGATTCACAGCAGAATTTTACAAGAAATCCAGAGAAGATTTAATACCAACACTCTTCAAACTCTTCAATGCAATTGAAAAGGAAGCAATTCTCCCTAACTCATTTCTAGAGGCAAGCATCATACTGATACCAAAACCAGAGAAAGACCCAACCAAGAAGGAGAACTACAGGCCAACCTCCCTAATGAATATAGAGGCAAAGATACTCAATAAGATACTAGCAAATAGAGTACAGCAAATTATCAAGAAAATCATACATCATATCCAAGTCGGATTCATTCCAGGAATGCAGGGTTGTTCAATATTAGCAAAATCTATAAATGATATACACCATATCAATGGAGCCAAAGACCAAAACCACATGATCATCTCACCAGATGCAGAAAAAGCTTTCGACAAGGTCCAACGTGCATTTATGATTAAAACTCTACAGAAAATAGGAATAGATGG